AGTATTTTAATGGAAGTGAAAATAAAGATAAATTCATGGTAAGAAATAAAAGTGATAGGGGGGGGGGCCAAAAGGTCATAATAAAACACTTGATGAGTTTTGTCAACAAATATCGAACTTACAGGTAATACCAATCGATCTCGCAAAGCTAAGTAAAATACAGCTAAAAACATTGGAATGAGATACTAACTCAGGTGATTCCATAGCGATTCATTGTTGACATGGTCAAAGGGAGACAACTGTTTTCCATCAATTATGAATATTATGGACTCAGACTAGCAATTATTTGCCCATTGACTTCAATGTTAAATGACTGTAACATCACAGGCTGTAGCTTTTTGCTCAACATTCCGTTGGTTCCAATCTTTATAGGCACAATGGGGACAACATTTGGCAATCTCCTCATCATAATTTTGTAGGGGGTTGACCGTTTAGATTTTTTGCTACACGGATTTGAAGTTGACAGGGGTGAAAATCTCACTTCCGACACAATGATTGCTCTGCAGAAAGACACTTTACACCCCTATCCCCCCACTGTAATATCATCAGTATTACCCAAAACTGCTATGAAATTGCAAATTTGATCCCTTTTCTCCAATTCTAGACCAAAAAGTCAACCCAAAAATGCAGGAAGAGGGGAGAAAAAAATTAAGGGAAAAATTGTCTATTTATAACTCGCACTACATTTGTCCATCATGAAATAAGGGGAAATAATTACTAGTCTTAGTCCTATATACCTCACATGTTTCTGCAGTTTAAACAAATCTGTTGTTATCTAATAAACAAACATATATGCAATTCCCTGGCCAAAGAATATGAAAATCTATGCATTTTCAGATGAGATGTGCGGCATTCTGCAAACACTATAATACATGTACATCAGAAAACTGCGGAATTTCAGACAGAAATTTAAAAGCACATGAATTTTGAATTAAACAGAACATTTTTATTTTTGAACATAAATGCATTCTGTAAAAAGATGAGATAAATTCAATATAAATCAAACACGAAAATACTTTAAAACAGTAATCATGATGCAATATTAGACTTTTTAACACTTTCATCGAAAACCACACAGTTTTTCTCTGTTAACGTAGTTTCAAGTGCCAAATTGTGGTCAAATCTAAAATGTTGAAACATGCAGTGCCTATCAATTTTAAAATATCTCCTATATAGCTGTATTTCCATAGGATAAGTAAGTTGAAATAATCTGATTATGTAACACTACAACAGCTTTTTCATCCCTACCCCCCAGTTTGGAATCTGATAATTTAAAAGCACATGAATTTTGAATTCCACAGAACATTTTTATTTTTGAACATAAATGCATTCTTCAAAAAGATGAGATGAATTCAATATAAATCAAACACGAAAATACTTTAAAACAGTAATCATGATGCAATATTAGACTTTTAACACTTTCATCGAAAACCACACAGTTTTTCTCTGTTAACATAGTTTCAAGTGCCAAATTGTGGTCAAATCTAAAATGTTGAAACATGCAGTGCCTATGAATTTCAAAATATCTCCTATATAGCTGTATTTCCACAGGATAAGTAAGTTGAAATAATCTGATTATGTAACACTACAACAGTTTTTTCATCCCCACCCCCCGGTATGGAATCTGATACATTGCTGACCAATCATAGGTCGCCCCGTTCACTCGGGCCTGTCAAATGATTTACAATGGCGATGGTGCCTACAACTTTCCTGACCAAGAGATATGCACAACCGTCGATCAACACACAAGCCATTAATGTTATCTTCCAATATGAGAGGCCATGATAAACACACAAGCGTCCTTTTCAAGCTCGGAAATTAAGTCATCACCAAAAAGCAAAGTTTACAGAGGTCCTTGGGGCTGGAACCCAAACTGATTACGATTTGCCCTCCACTTCCACCACAGGTGTCATAGAGATCAGGGATGAAATTGATATGCATCATCGTTCTCCTAAAGCCAGTCCAGGAAGAGATCAGGTTTTGAGATGTAGACCTGAAATGTTAAATTTGGATGAGAATGAGAATTCTGGGGCGAATACTATCCAGGGAAATGGTCATTGACATCCAGAAAATGGTCAAAATGTGGAATTCTGTCATTCAGTTAAATGTCAAGGGGAGAAGACAGGCCTGTGCAGTACCAAATTTCCAACCCATTACTATTAGTGAGCAGAAGTGGGGATGAGGTTGGATGTACTTCTTAAAGTGTATGAAATGCACATTTATCTCACCTGTTTTGCTTCATTTTTTTTAATACTTGTGTTGAGGTCAATCATTCCACTCTATGAAACATTGCCCTGGCACCTGAAATGATAGGAGGCTGGGGATAAATATGCAATAAAAAACAGTGAGAAAATAAGAAAAAAATATGGTTTCAACTGGAAATAGAAATAAACCTCTTTATTTCTCGCGAACAGCCCGTCACTGGCCCTCCAAAAAGAAACCAGTTAACAATCAGTAAAAAAGTAAACCTTGAGTGTCACATAAGTCTAAGCCAATCTCAAAGGTAGATGCCATGTTTTGAGGTTCGGTCTAAATATTCAGGCCAACTGCATGTTTTGTCAAAAGTCACACAGGTGTGAATTTTGGAGTGTACATGTTAACATTTCATTGTATGATGTCAAAAACATGTTAGGTCTAAATGTTAAGGCCAACTGCAGACTTGGTTCAAGGTCACAACATGTAAATAGGGTTAGGGCACATGATTTTTTGACACAATTGTGGGTTTGGGCTAGGGTCAGAACTAGGTCTTGGCTTAGGCCTAGGCTACATGCTTTTTGACACAATTGTGGGTTTGGGCTAGGGTCAGAACTAGGTCTTGGCTTAGGCCTAGGCTTCATGCTTTTTGACAAGATTGTGGGTTAGGGTTAGGGTTAGGGTAAGGACTGGGTCTTGGGTTAGGGTTAGGGTCAGTCTTGTTTACATCTCGTGACTTTAGACCAAATCTGGAGTTGAGTTGGCCTTAATATTTAGACCTAACCATTTTTTGATATCATTGTGAACAAAATGTTACACATTTACAACCCAAAATTCACACTCAACCAACGGATACCCCCAATCATGGCTATTTTGATACCAAATAGTCAAAAAACTTACTGCTGGGCAATAAAAAAGCAGTATTCTTACCATTTCTGACACTTTCCATTCAAAACTTCAGGAAATAAGCCGTTGAAAAAATATCAACATCCCGAGTCGGCCATGCTTCTTTATATCATCAGGACTCAGACTAGGAATCTGATAATTTAAAAGCACATGAATTTTGAATTCCACAGAACATTTTTATTTTTGAACATAAATGCATTCTTCAAAAAGATGAGATGAATTCAATATAAATCAAACACAAAAATACTTTAAAACAGTAATCATGATGCAATATTAGACTTTTAACACTTTCATCGAAAACCACACAGTTTTTCTCTGTTAACATAGTTTCAAGTGCCAAATTGTGGTCAAATCTAAAATGTTGAAACATGCAGTGCCTATGAATTTCAAATTATCTCCTATATAGCTGTATTTCCACAGGATAAGTAAGTTGAAATAATCTGATTATGTAACACTACAACAGTTTTTTCATCCCCACCCCCCGGTATGGAATCTGATACATTGCTGACCAATCATAGGTCGCCCCGTTCACTCGGGCCTGTCAAATGATTTACAATGGCGATGGTGCCTACAACTTTCCTGACCAAGAGATATGCACAACCGTCGATCAACACACAAGCCATTAATGTTATCTTCCAATATGAGAGGCCATGATAAACACACAAGCGTCCTTTTCAAGCTCGGAAATTAAGTCATCACCAAAAAGCAAAGTTTACAGAGGTCCTTGGGGCTGGAACCCAAACTAATTACGATTTGCCCTCCACTTCCACCACAGGTGTCATAGAGATCAGGGATGAAATTGATATGCATCATCGTTCTCCTAAAGCCAGTCCAGGAAGAGATCAGGTTTTGAGATGTAGACCTGAAATGTTAAATTTGGATGAGAATGAGAATTCTGGGGAGAATACTATCCAGGGAAATGGTCATTGACATCCAGAAAATGGTCAAAATGTGGAATTCTGTCATTCAGTTAAATGTCAAGGGGAGAAGACAGGCCTGTGCAGTACCAAATTTCCAGCCCATTACTATTAGTGAGCAGAAGTGGGGATGAGGTTGGATGTACTTCTTAAAGTGTATGAAATGCACATTTATCTCACCTGTTTTGCTTCTTTTTTTTTTTTAATACTTGTGTTGAGGTCAATCATTCCACTCTATGAAACATTGCCCTGGCACCTGAAATGATAGGAGGCTGGGGATAAATATGCAATAAAAAACAGTGAGAAAATAAGAAAAAAATATGGTTTCAACTGGAAATAGAAATAAATCTCTTTATTTCTCGCGAACAGCCCGTCACTGGCCCTCCAAAAAGAAACCAGTTAACAATCAGTAAAAAAGTAAACCTTGAGTGTCACAGAAGTCTAAGCCAATCTCAAAGGTAGATGCCATGTTTTGAGGTTCGGTCTAAATATTAAGGCCAACTGCATGTTTGGTCAAAAGTCACACAGGTGTGAATTTTGGAGTGTACATGTTAACATTTCATTGTATGATGTCAAAAACATGTTAGGTCTAAATGTTAAGGCCAACTGCAGACTTGGTTCATGGTCACAACATGTAAATAGGGTAAGGGCACATGATTTTTTGACACAATTGAGGGTTTGGGCTAGGGTCAGAACTAGGTCTTGGCTTAGGCCTAGGCTACATGCTTTTTGACAAGATTGTGGGTTAGGGTTAGGGTAAGGACTGGGTTAGGTTTAAGAATTTGGGGGGAGAGGTTAAGTCTCCACATAAGCACTGACCTAGGATGATGAAAAATTAGTTCGTGATATTTCCTAGTTTTATTAAAATACATACAATACATTAGATTTATATACAAAGGCGATTTCACTGTTTATTGGTGTTGGTGGCGCTGATGGTCTTCCTTGGGTGGTGCTTCTGGTATTCTGGTATTGTTGTTTCTGAAGAGAAAAGAAAATAAATTTGAGGCTCTCGGGAGAGAGCCACATTAGTGTGTTTCCTACAACGGATTGGATTTTATAAAAAAATCGTGTTTGTTCCACATCACCGGGTTACGGCTAGGGATTCTTATATCTAATTGATTTTAATTACTAACGGTTAGGCATAGGATTTGATATATGGTTTGTTTTGGGTCAGGGTGGAGACTGGTCTTATTTAATCTAATTTACTGTGCACTAGGATGTCGTTCAGATTTTTATTTTTAGAATATGCAATTATAAGTTTCTGTGTGAATATTTTCGGGTGATTTTCTTGAAGATCAGTATAGTGTTTTCTGATGATTTTGGACGCACTTGCTGCTGTTGCGCTAAATGGAACTACAAAAGGAGCTATTGCGCTAGCCGTATGAATATTCAAACCTAGGGGGGCTGTTGTTTTCAATTTGTCAATCCAGAATTTTTCTCTTGTTAGCCTAAACGTTTTAATTTCTTCTGAAGTTTCAAAGTCGCTCTTGGTCTTTTCTATTGGCGTGACAATGAGATCTGAAATGTCATGATTTGGTTGGTTGAAATGAATTGAGACAGGTTTGTCTTTTTTGGTGACTATGTCAGACCGGTGACCGTTAATTCTTTCCCTAAGTGCATTTTGAGTCTCCCCTACGTATTGCTTGTCACATTTTCTGCATGAGATAAGATAAATTATGTTTGAGCTACTGCATGAAAGTTGGTCTAATATTGGGAATTTTGTGCCAGATGTTTTGTTATGGAAATGGTCGGATATGTTTAAGATTTTGCATGTTTGACATCTTGGATGGCCACAAATTTTGGTTTTATGTGCTGATTGTATATTATTTGTTTCTTTGACGGCAAGCTCAGCTAGAGTGTTGTTTTTTATACGTCGTAGATAGCGTTTGGAGTATCCCCTTTCCCGTAGTTTGCTAAATACTAATGTACATGCTGACTCAAAGTCGGTCTTCTGAGTACATATCCTATGAAAACGGAGAATCTGAGATTTTATGATGCCAGAGAATGTATGTTTTGGGTGAAAGGAGCTTTTGAACAATAATTGATGTGTGTCGGTTTCTTTGAAAAATACTTTAGTTTCCAATTGGCCTGTGATTTTGGTGTTGTTACTTTTAAAAACGGTAGTATCAAGGAAATCTATGCTGTTATGGCTTACATTTGCGGTTAATTTGATAGATGGATGATGATTGTTCAGGATGTTGAAAAACGTCCAAAATTCGTCTAGTGTGTAGGTCCAGACTATGAAAACGTCATCTAAAAACCGCCCATAGAAATCTGGTTTTAATGGACAGAGTGGCAGAACTTCCCTTTCCCACTCCGCCATGAAGAGATTTGCATAACTCGGGGCAAATCGTTTTCCCATCGCAGTTCCGGAAGACTGAAGGTATACTTGGTCGTTAAAAGCGAAGTCATTCCTCCTCAGACAAATGTTATCAAGCACAAATTACAATTTAGTGATGATGATGATGGGTTAGTTGTATTTTACGTCCGCTTCCACCGAGGTGATATCGCAGACAATGACAATGACAATTTAGTAAACTTGTGGACAATATATATGAATTTAATAAGAAACCATCTGCATGGATTAAGAATAACAGTAATAGAAATAATCAAGGTGTAAAGGATATTTAACAATAACAACAAACATAACAAGGTAATTAGCTACTAATAAGCACTGATACTGCATGATTAGAGGGTTATTAACAGCTGAGTTATGAAGCCCTTCAAAAGGGTAGCATGTATGGATAGTGGGAAGTTGATAAAGCACAGGTAGTGAGGCCATGTGCATGAAGTTAAATAAGATTTTTGTTCTTGTATTCTTAGTACAAATTGTGTATTGTTATAGTTGTACTTATATAATGCAATCTTATGCACAAACCCCCACAACCTTATTTGTACTAATACAAAGATATTTATTTAGTGTCCGACAATGGCCATCTTATCTTTTGTATAGATACGACCCAGCTACCCTGTAATGGATTAATATCTCAGAGTTGATAATTGTATAAACTATTCGAGTTCTACTGTGACAAGACATTTGAATTCTCAGTGTTGGTGTCAGCCATATTGTCATGGCCGGTCTATGGCCACCGTGATTCACCAGCTTTAAACTCTAATTAAGACCACATACAAGCTGTTGAAGTGTTTTATTGACAATGAGTTACATAAAATCGACAAAGATGACAATTAACCCTAATGGGGAGATGAGTGTAACAAACCGTATAATTCGTGACAATACTGTTGAACTGATTCCCGACGATGATAACCCCTCCACTGGTATTGCCTCAGTAGACATATTATATTTCCTACAAGCTAAGGATTTTGACATCAGCAATATAAAATGTCTCCAAAATGTAGGTAAGGGCAAGTTTTGCCTAACTCTTAAGGATATACTTGCCAAGGAGTTATTTCTTGAGAATCTCAAGACCTTCTCAGTGAAGAATTGCAATTATACAGTAGAGTCGGCTGGAAACATCACATGGGACTACCCTGTTGATTCAATTCCTGTTGCGGTCTTCGGCCTACCATTCGAAATGGACAATAAATATCTGGTTAACAAATTGACGAACTATTGTGAATTGGTTAAATGTGACAGATCCTGCTTCAAACCATTTCCAACGGTCGGAAGCGGTGTTAGAATTGTTTATGTAAAAAAAATGTTTAAACCTATTCCATCGCACATTTATATAAAAGGGATACATGTATCCATTAAATATGAGGGCCAAACTAGGGGCAAAATTTGTTACAACTGCGGCCTGCATGGGCATCTTGGCCGTGAATGTATAAAACCAGACAAAAGATATAGTCTGCCAACCAACCCCAATGCACCAAATCCTGATGATCAAATGGAATTTCCTGCCCTTCAACCCCAAACTAGTCCAAACAGTGCTATAGTATCTGCTGATATAGCCACTGAACCCACCCATAATATTGATAATATTTATGAACCTAATCATGAGCACCTAAATATCAATAACCATGTCTTAGGCTATGACCCTAGTGAAGACAATAACCCTGGTGTCAATAATATTATCCCCTCAAAAAATAATACGACAAAAACAAATGTCTATAATTCTGGTCAAGTCAAACCCGCAAACCCAGGAAGTCTAAACCAGGACTTAGCTACTCTAGACTCCATAAAAACTACAGTAGTCAACAATGACATTCCTATCACTACCGATACAACAAATGTTATCCTCAGCCCTGATAGCCATTTTATCAATGATGTTAATAAGTCTATTATTGATACATCTAGTGGTCATGTTTCTTCCACCCCCATTAACACAGGATCCTCAGTGGGTCAAAGGTATTTAGAGGATAACAGTATCATTGACAACTCATCCCATGATATCCCTGTAACATCGCAGTCAAATCTTAACTATGACGCTGATGTCTCATTGTTAAATAACTCTACAGTCACTAAGTGTGACACAGTAAGTAAAAGGGAAAGAAGCCTTGATAGTTTATCCGAAACAGAAAAAGATGATAAAAGGGCGCGAGCGGAATCCCCGCTTACCGAAACAGAAGTTTAGAGATCAAACAAATTAAGACGTTATAAGTTCTTGAAACCATATTAGTTAACAATGAAGCCTTCTATCCCTATTATTTACCTAATTATTATGTTAATTTACTCCATAAACGCTCTACAAGGAAATCTTCAAAAGATTAAACAAATTAGCAATATATTTAACAAACTAGATATTGTTTGTATACAAGAAATTCTAAAATCCAATGTCCATGAAATAAAAAATGTTGAAAACGAAACTGGCTATAACTTATACACTGCATATAATGAAACAAAGATTGGCATTGCCCTATTATTAAGCCCAAACATTATACATAAACTCTACAATACACCTGATGAATTAGCAGGTAGGCTCCAACATCTGGAGGTAAATGCAAATAATGAAACTATTCAAATATTCAATATATATGGTCCCTGCAAGAGAGAATTGAAAACTTATTACTACAAGAGACTTCTTGAATATGTCAAAACTATTCATAATCTACAACATTCTTATATTATTACTGGTGATTTTAACCTTATTGAAAACAGTAAAGATAACAAACATGGCAACATGAATAACCATCCAAAAGATGCTATAAGATATCTACTTGATATACAAAATCTACTTAATATAAGTGATGGTTACAGAATTATCTCCCCTGACACTCCCCTTTTTACCTATCACAACTCACAAGGACATGCTAGCAGATTAGACCGCATTTACATAAGTAATAAATATGCAACTTACATCAAATCAATTAAACATATACCACTTCATTTCACTGACCATAAAGCAGTGGAACTAAATATCAACCTTAACAATCTTAAATGGGGTAAAGGATATTGGAAACTTAACAATTCTATTCTAGATGATAAAAACTACCAAAATCAAATTAAAACATTCTGGTCAAGCTGGCAAAACAAAAAATACCAAATCATTGACAACATACAATGGTGGGAAAAAGGTAAAGCAGCTATTAGAAATATTACACAAAATTACTGTCAAGCCTTAGCAGTTGAGAACAAACATATCCTCAGTAACCTTTATCAACAACTGGAATCCCTAGAAAATGAAATACCTAGTAAGAATAACTCTATAAACGAGATAAAATCAAAAATTGAGCTTATAGAATATAATACCAAACAAGGCTACGTTATACGTTCAAAATTAGAAATACCCCAAATTGATGTATCTACTAATTCTAAAATATATAAATTAGCAGAAGTTAAAAAGGGTGCAAAAAAACAAATTAAACAACTGATCAATCAAAATAATACAATCTGTGACAATAAACAAGATATATTAGACACAATTCACCAATTCTACCAACAACTATATACTTCTCAAAATATTAATGATAACTTCATGAAGTCCTATATCGAACACAGTGACATAAACACACTAACAAACACGGAAAGAGATTCAATATCACATTTTATATCTAGACATGAAGTCCTTAAGGCGTTACAAAAATTTAGAACAAACCGTAGCCCGGGTGTAGATGGTATTCCAGGAGATTTCTACATAAAATTCTTTGACATTATAGGAAACGATTTAACAGAAGTATTAAACAACATCTATCTACAGGGGGAATTATCTAACACAATGAGAACTGGTATCATAACAATTAACTACAAGAATAAAGGCGACCATCGATTACTCAAGAACTATAGACCGATAAGCCTGTTATGTGTGGACTATAAAATCATAACAAAAATTCTAAGCACAAGAATAAATTCTGTTATTAACAAATTAATCTCTAATACACAAACAGGAGCTGGACCAAATAAAAGCATTTTTGATAACCTATATTCAATAGATACAATACTAAATTATATAAACACAAATGAGTCCAGTGCCTATATATTATCATTTGACCAAGAAAAAGCCTTCGATCTCATTGAACACAACTATATCATAAATCTACTTAAACATATTAATTTCCCAAATTTCATCCTTAACTGGGTTACAATATTGTTTAAAAACTTGATTAGTAAAGTCCAAGTAAATGGATCCTTTTCCCAAAATATTAAAATTAACCGATCGATTCGTCAAGGATGTCCACTATCCATGATTCTATACTCATTGTGTATCAACCCCCTTGCTTCATACATAAACAAAAACATCCTCATAAAAGGCATCAGGATCCCTAACCACCCTTCAGAGATTAAGTTATTTCAGCATGCAGATGACTGTTCTGCTATAATATCTAGACTTTCTTCATACAGCACCCTCCTCGAACAATTCAAAACATTTGGCTCTATATCTGGCTCCAAACTTAACCATGATAAAACTGAAATCCTTTCTGTTGGAAAACCATCACACTACTCCTATCCTGTAAATATAAATATTAATATTAAAACAGACGCTTTAAAATTACTAGGCATTTGGTTTGGCTCAAATAAAATGGAAAAGAACTGGCTACCCCTTGTTCAAATAATCAATTCAACCATCCAGACATGGGAAAATCACTCTCTTTCATATAAAGAAAAAGTATGCATCTTAAACACCTATATACTCAGCAAACTATGGTTTGTTGCTAGGATAGTTCCTCCCTCAAACTCAATTATTAAAAACATAAATAAAATAATCTACAATTTCATCTGGGAAAATAAAAGTGAAACAATTAATCGAAACACCTTGAACCTAGAGCATAAAAATGGTGGCCTTAAAGTGACAAACATTCGACTAAAAATCCAGGCAATGCAACAACAACTTATAGTAAAAGCAATCAAAGACAACAACAGTCCCTGGTTAGGCCTATACATATACTGGCTAGGATTTACTACATGGGATACTCTGCCAAGATATGCATCCAATAATTATACCCACTCGGAAAAACTCCCCCAATCATATATAGATATAAAAGAAACTTACAATAGCCTCAAATCATCCATCAAATATACATACAATACAAAACTTAAAGACATATACTGGTCCCTAATTGACTTATTACAGACACAACCAAAAATAAATAAACAATTACCTCATGTTGACTTTTCAAAAGTCTGGACAAACCTCTATAAATGCTCCTCCTTATCTGAAAAAGAAAAGGATTTCATGTATACAATCATCAATAATGCAGTACTAACAAAAGATATTATGCTATACAGAAATATATATACTATCAACTATAAATGCCACTATTGTAACCGAGCAACTGAATCTTACCATCATTTATTTCTGAATTGCCCCAAATTAAAATTCTATAAATGTTTCATTACTACACATATAAACAACATTCATCTCACCAAAGAATTCAAAATCAACAACAATACAATCCATCTACACAATATAAAATCTAAATACATTCATGATATATACCTATACCTGTCGATCATATGGTCTAACCGAACACACCCTCTATCCACCAATATTTCACAAGAGCTTATATACCAATTCTATACAAAAAGAAAACAAAAATAAAGATTACTCTCTTAAGCTCGAGTCTTCACTACCTTATGACCCTCCTTAAGCCTAGGTTTGTGTCGTCATGTCTGAATTTATACTCTGCAACTTCTCCCATGAAATATTGACTTTGCTACTATAATAAGTAGCTACAACCATAGACATCTTCTTATATTTCTTTTGTATATGAGCACTCATTGCAATTTTTTTTAGTAAGAATGTAGGCCTACAAGCGAAAATAACCAAACACCTGTAGGCCTACCCCATATAAATTCTGGAAAATTTTGGCTTAATTGATAAACCAATATTTTACAAAAGGAAATAAAATCGAAATCACCAAGCTTCAGCCTACTCTGCCTTACCGAATTCTCCTGTATGAAGCTTCCATATTAATTACTCTACTATATGACTAAACAGACCGTGCTATTTACTTTAAGTTGTCACAACTTGACATCTTAGTCATCTTTCGTTTTCGTTAAATGGCACTATCTCACTCTGTCATATAAATAAAATACCTATACACCCACTGAAATATGTCCAACAGTAAAATAGAAATCCATTAAAAACATTTAAACACTAACTCAAGTTTTACCCGTTTGTTTTACCGCTATTCATTCACTGTAATCAACACTCACCTCTAACATTAACATGGCCATCATAACATCCCACAATTCCCTATGTACGTTCTTTTTGTGCTGGGAAACATCACACTCTCTTTCAACCAGACGCTTTTCCACTACAGACTTCAAATATATTTTTAGCTGTATATAAGAAAGTAGCTATAATATAGGAACTTTAATTGTATTTTGTATTATATTACCGTTTGTATATATCATCTCATATTGACTTTGTATATAACAATTGTAAATAAATAAATAATTCTACTGTATTAAATTATAAATTATCAAAAAAAAAAAAAAAAAAAAAAAAAAAAAGATAATATTGTAGTTATTGACACAACCTATTATAGGTATATTGAATATCTTTTTACGAACTAGAATCAATTAAATTATACAGAAATCTTGTACTCAACATTATTCTACACTGAAAAATACTCTGACATTGAAAATATTTTGAGATATTGATCGAATATCTTTTTACGAACTAGAATCAATTAAATTATACAGAAATCTTGTACTCAACATTATTCTACACTGAAAAATACTCTGACATTGAAAATATTTTGAGATATTGATCGAATAGCACCCTTTCATCCAATTATCCTTGTTACTGTATATGTAATATTAAAGATCATTTAGATCACTATCAACGAACTTTACCTACTTGCATCTTGCATATATGATTAGCCCCCCCCCCCATACACTAATATTACTCGACTCCAAAACTTGACATACAATTTAAGTACAATGTAAGTAATTTATCTGTTGGAGATGTAAACTCATACCTCGATATAAGTATGAATTTGTTTGTAATTGTGATTGTAAATACTGTTCTGATGTTTTCATTATTGTTATGTAGTATATTGTATATTTGTTTGTCTCATTTTCGTTATTCCATGTATCTAACTTCTAGGAGTGTAAAATGTATTAACTACATATTTAAAGAAATCTCTAATATGAAGCCATATCTCATTATGCATACGTACCTAAATATATATGAATATATGTCTGATTGTTCCGATCTTACATGTGAACGTAAAATATTACTTAATGACAGCCACGATTAAAACTAATACTATTTGGCCTCTCAAACGGAACGATCAACATGCCTTATATGTGATCTTACATCCTATCTCGTGTTATGGTATAAATATGCATCTATTGCTGGTAATTAAAACTTTGTTAATTGTCGGTTGCATAGAACAAAACCCTGGTCCGTTTAATACATTAAATACAGGGAACATTTCCATTGTCCACAATAATGTATGTAGTTTATTGCCAAAACTAGATATAATTGAAGCTGAATTCTCCAACTATGATATAATATGTATTACTGAATCTCATTTAGACAACACTATTAATGATTCAATGATTTTACTGCCCGGTTATAGAAGTCCAGTTAGAATAGATAGAAACAGGCATGGGGGTGGGGTTGTTGTTTATATAAAAAATAATCTACACTTTCAGATTAGGCATGATCTCATAAACTCTGATATTGAATTAATTTTTATAGACATATTTACTGATTACACCAAATTTCTACTCGGGGTAATATATAGACCCCCAAATACAAAGGTTGCCTTTTGGGACATATTTTACGATACGTTATCTAATGCATTAGATAGAGGTTCCTCTTTTATCCTAACGGGGGATTTTAATATCAACATTTTAAGTAATTCAAGTAATTGTGCTACATTTAAAAAACTATTACAAAGATTAAATCTTGAAAATCTGATAAAAGAACCGACTAATTTCACAACGATCCCAGGTTCATGCATTGATCTTTTTATTACCAATAGGAAATCCCTTATATCAGATACTAATGTTAATGCTCCTATATGCAGTACACATTCACCAATAACCTTATCTTTAAATATAAAAACATACAAACAATTAACATACAAAAGAACTATTAGAAATTATAAACTTGCAGATTATGAAGGTTTAAATAACGAATTATTAACTGTCGATTGGTCAAAAAATGTTTTTAAAAATGATGATATTAATAAAATTTATCAAAGCTTTTTAGATGTTTTAAATAAAGCATTAGTACAATATATCCCAACAAAAGTAGTAACTATAAGACCAAATGATAAGCCATTTATGAATAACGCCATACGTATAAAAATTCGAAAACGAAATAGAGCACACAGACGCGCCAAAAAAACAAATAGTCCTAATCATTGGCTATTATTTAGAAAAATAAGAAATCAAGTAATAACATTAATTAGGGAAGCTAAAAATAGTTTTAAAGAGAAATTAGAACAACAAATAAATAATAAAACCTTGCAACCAAATAAATGGTGGAAAATAGCTAAATCTATTACAAATTATGATAATGTAAAGGTACAAACCTCCCCATTATTATTTGAAAACTGTGTTTACACACACCCACTTGATATGGCAAACATCCTAAACTCTTATTTTGCTTCGATTTCAAAATTAAATGATGTACCTGACCTTCCATACTTTGCTTCTCGCAGTAACAACGAACTACAAAATTTTATTGTAAGTGAGCAAGAAGTGAAAGACCAGTTACTAATTCTTAACTGTTCAAAACCTTCTGGTCCCGATAATATCAGTCCAGCTGTATTGAAAAAGATAACTCCATCAATCACAAGCCCTCTCACTAAACTTTTTAATCTTTCATTAGAACTCCAATTATTACCTGATATCTGGAGGACTTCACATATCATTGCAGCGTATAATGGAAAGGGTGATCCGCAGTTCCCTGAAAACTATAGACCAATTTCATTAACATGTTCATTGTGTAAAATACTAGAGAAAATCTTATTCAAAAATCTTTATAATTTTATAAAAGAAAATAACCTGTTATATAAGTACCGGTCTGGTTTTCAACCTAACGATTCTACAATAAACCAACTTTTAGAAATTTATGATGTTATAATTAGTAATCTTGATAAAGGAAAGCAAATTCGATTTATATTTTGTGATATATCAAAAGCGTTTGACAAAGTTTGGCATATAGGCTTATTGTCTAAATTAAAACAATATGGAGTTAATGAAATATTATGTAAATGGATTGAACACTATTTAAGTAATAGACAACAATGCGTAGTTTTAGAAGGTTTCAAATCAAACTATTTGTATACTGATTCTGGAGTCCCCCAGGGAAGTGTGCTGGGTCCTTTCCTATTTTTAATTTATTTAAATGATATCTCCGATAATATTACTAACAACATAAGGCTATTCGCCGATGATACTTCACTTTTTACCATTATTCATAATGATCCTCTAAGTAGCGCGAAATCTATGACTGAAGATCTGAATATTATCTCATCGTGGGCTAAACAATGGTGTATAACTTTTAACCCCAATAAAACTAAAGATATTATTTTTACTAGGAAAAATACAATCCATCCAGACGTTATTTGTGAAAATACAAAAGTTGAAAACGTAACTACTCATTGTCATTTGGGAATAACATTTCAGTCTAATGCATTATGGTCAAAACACATTTCAAATATATACCAGAAAGCTTGTGGCCGACTAAATATTTTGCGTATACTGAAATACAAAATTAACAGAATTTCACTTAACAAAATATATCTTGCTTTTATTCGTCCAATTTTAGAATATGCCGATATTGTATGGGATAACTGTTCAAAGAAGGATTCTGATCTATTAGAAAGTGTTCAAACTGAAGCAGGTAGAATAATAACTGGCCTTAGAAGAAATTCATCTAAAAACAATTTATACAAAGAGCTTGGTTGGGAATCATTGTCTTATCGCAGAATAAAACACAAATTAATTTACTGATACAAAATAAAGAATAACCTAAGTCCCACTTATCTATCTGAAGCCTTTAAAAAATTTGAACCGTCTGTATCAAATTATAACCTTCGAAATGAAAATCTCAACCTCAATCTACCATTTTGTAAAACGAGTTCATATTCTAATAGTTTCTTTCCCTGCACAATTAAACTTTGGAACAACTTACCTGAAAATATTAAAACTTCACAAACGTTAAGTACATTCAAATTGGGCCTTTCACGCGTGTATCCTTTAATTAGACCACTACTATATTATAATACTGGAAATAGGAAAGAGAATATTATCCATTGCCAATTAAGAAATAAAGCTAGTAACTTAAATAATCACTTATTCTACCATTTTATTAGTGACACAAAGATGTGCCCTAGGTGTAATTCTGCAGACGAAGATAATTACCATTATTTTTTCATATGTCCAGCCTACTCTGCCCCAAGAAAAATTCTAAAAAATAATCTACACCACCTTAATCAAAATGTTACAATTGACCTGATCCTATATGGCAACCCCTCTCTTTCCGATAATACCAATTCCAACATATTTGAAATAGTGCAAAAATACATAAAAGACAGCAAGAGATTTTAAAACTTTAACATTTAAAACTTAAAATTACACTTCAAAATGTATATATGTTTGTTACTCACTGTCTGTACATATGTCACCACTGTATTGTAAACATAAGATTTAACTATTTTATATGTTTGGAGAGAACTTATATAGGCCTTGCCTGTTGTTCAATCCAATTCAGTTTATTGAATAAAATATTGTTTAAACTAACATCACAGGCTGTAGCTTTTTGCTTAACATTACGTTGGTTCCAATCTTTATAGGCACAATGGGGACAACATTTGGCAATCTCCTCATCATAATTTTGTAGAGGGTTGACCGTTTAGATTTTTTGCTACACGGATTTGAAGTTGACAGGGGTGAAAATCTCACTTCCGACACAATGATTTCTCTGCAGAAAGACACTTTACACCCCCTATCCCTCCGATGTAATATCATCAGTATTACCCAAAACTGCTATGGAATTGCAAATTTGATCCCTTTTCTCCAATTCTAGACCAAAAAGTCAACCCAAAAATGCAGGAAGAGGGGAGAAAAACATTAAGGGAAAAATTGTCTATTTATAACTCGCACTACATTCCCATCATGAAATAAGGGGAAATAATTACTAGTCTTAGTCCTTATAACGTAAACCTTTTCTGATTAGCTGTTCAATTGGCTAAAAAATGTTCTTCCCTTTAATACGCCTATTGATACAAAAATATCTGAAACATATCTTTTTTCATTCCTTTGACAGGTAAATATTGAATGTCATTATCTATAAATTAAGTGAGAAAGACCTTAGATAGTAGGGAATGTGATTGAATACTTTCCATGCTTGAGTGTGTCCAGTTATGACGTTTTTGTGCATTTTCTTTCTTGACCCAACCATAACCGCATGGAATGGGTTGGATGTGACGTCAAAGAGCTTCTCGAAGGAACCCTATTGGCCTAGCTGTGAAACCGTAAAATAGTGAAATAAATAATAACAATAGCCTTATTAATAACTGTCAATAGTGGGGTTTATAGCCCAGTTACGCTCTTTATCAGTTACATGTAATTCTAGGATAACTGTGATCTTAGTATTCAGGAGAATTCTTGTTTATTTCTGTGGCATTCCAACAAAACACAAAAAGGCATTTATTGATTGTATAATTGTATTCAGCATTTTACAATATTTCTGGAATCATATAAGCTTCATTATTCAAAATGTGTAACACTGTACATGGTTCATCTCCCATCGCATTGGCATGTACATTTGAGTATGAAATGAAATGAAATGGGGTTTAACGCCCTACTGTTCTGCTCCTAACCTGGGCTAATGAAAGCGAGCATAAGCCATACAGTGTGCTATGGGGGAAATTTTGCCCGGGCAGCGGCGCTACAGCCTACCCTTATATCGAATTACAACTGCCAAGGGATATTTTACGTGCACGTCAATGTGTACACGGGACCTCGGTTTTTCGTCCCATCCGAACAACTAGACAGTTGTTCTTGTCAGGTCCTCCATCCTGCATCACTGACAAGGGGAAACCACGCCGGAAAATCTGAATGAACTTTCTCGGCCAATGCAGGGATCGAACACCCGACCTCCAGGCTAGCTAGCCAGCGTCTTACCCACTTAGCCACGTGATCCCCATTTGAGTACATAGATGACCTTGATGTGAATATTAAGGAGTAAGATATCTTCTGTGCGAACAACCTAAGGGTTCCGAAAATATATTATGCAACCCCCCCCCCCCACCGAACGATTTCTGCCCGGTCGTAGTATTGTACAGATTCGTACACGACTTTATAATATCATTTCTAGTAAACAAATAAAAATATAAAATAAATGTGCTTTTATTGGGGTTGAACTATTGGTATAGTATTTCACAGATGCATACACTACTCGATATTAGCATTTCTGATAAACAAATAAAAATGTAAAAGTATTCTGACTTTTTATACGTCTACATTTTCACGTAGACGGCAGGAAAAATCCTAACAATATGAATACTGAAATATCGCAATTTCAAATAATAAACGGCTTTGAAAAGCCGAGTAACACTATGTTTTTGGGTAAACCCGTTAGAGTCTATACAAACCACATTCACTCAACACAGTACGATACAGTACGGGAGACGCAAACGTTTACACACACGATAACATGCGCTCTTTCTATAGGGATGGATGAGTAATAATGCAGGTAAGACTATTAATTAATGATAGTTGATATTAAAATTACAATTCGACCACTCAATATTTTGGATCTGTAGTGATCTCTACCATTGCATAGTAAAAGATATATCACATTATTGGACTTACAATTCATATCTGACTTGATATGAAATTTTGTATAATATGATATATTGAAAAACATAAACAATTCAAAAAAGGGGAATGAATTTGGTCGGAACTGAGAATGATTGGGGCCATGTAAAAATATAATGATAGGTGCCCGTTAATTCTTTCGGGGCCCGTTCATGGCACAGATATAAGTATGGTGGTCAATACATGTCCTCGTCTTAAAATGACAAACTTTTAAATGTATCTTTAACTAAAAGAAGAAATAATGTAATGTAATTATATGAAATGTTGAAAGTTAGATTTACAAATAAATTAAGAGCCATTCAACGAGAAAACCATGTAGAAGGTTCGAAAATCAATTTTCTTTTAAATGACATAGTTGCACCTTAAGGGCGCCCCTGTTCCATGTACCTGTGGCTTGTGCACGTATATTTCGTGGTTTCGGCTTGCGTAGTACATAAAGTAGCTATAGATGGGTATTTGTAAGGCCGGCAAAAGTGGCTAAGTGGGGAAGAGATTAAGAAAATTAATTAAGGAAATAGTTACTTACGGATTGGGTATAATTAGACAAGTGTTAATATAATATACAATAGCGTAATGAAATGATAAATAGGGTTCATTGTGTGGACCAGGTATCTTTGTATAATTCTCCAATGTCGACCGATTCGGTATGGACTATGAAAAGTTGTGTTCCTGTAACATGACAGAATACTTGAATTTGATCACTTGATTCAGGAGTTGATTTCGGTGTTGGTCTTGGCGGCATGCAGTAGCGACATGTCGTTCTACTATTAGACAAAAGAGATACCGATATTGTGGGTCTTTTCACTTGCTCAATGGGGACGAAATCTGTGATTTGGTGGAACGATTGATAATTGAGAACGGGATGAAACTGTTATCGTCATCGGTAAATGAAATTGAACGGTTGGAGTGGGCATACTGATAAATTTACATTTTCATGCTATTGGGGGTTTGTTTGTGGGGGAGGGGGGGATATTAATATGATTTAGATTGATATAATTTATGATGTTGTTTTTGATTCAAATCAAAGACCTAGAGTTGACATATAAGTGTGGTGAGGTTGACCCTGGCCTCAATGGTTTTATGTATATATGGACAATCTGTAAAGTTTAAAAGTTGAGGCCATCCTATTAGAGAATAATATCCCCCAGTTACACATTAATGTTGTTTTTTTTATTTACAGAAGAAATGGCTATTCCAGAAAATTATTCAGGTTGTCAGGAGAGGGTTATACCCACTGAACATAACTCTGAGATGGTGATTAACCCGTCACAAATACGTGAATTATCTATTCGTCTACTTGAAGTTTCTATTAGACGCTGTGAATATATTGTAGAATTAGACAATTCAGGGATTGAATATATATCACTTGTGTGTGTGTGTAGACATCATGGTAACGTTAACTCATTTCATTAAAAACAAGGTAGATAACCAAAGTTTAATATTTTGCTTGTTAATCTAGTTCTCTATTTACAATATTTGTTGACCTTTTAGAAGCAAAAAAATAGAAATGAATTGCCTACTAAAATGAAAACTATAGTTTCCTTTGGCATACCGTGGTATATATATGGTGCTCTGTGTGGTTATATACATTGTTACAGACCAAGAAATATCATGGATTTAACACAGAGCTAAATGGGAAGAGGAATATCATAGATTTAACGTTTCAAGGGGGAGAGAAATATCATGGATTTAACATTGAGTTCAATGAAGAGAGAAATATTAATGTTATTGGATTATATATACATATATATTTGTTAAAACAAACCATCAAAACCACGTACAAAATGATTTTAAATTAAATAAGTACTATAACATAGACGAATAATGTTGTAGCTTTTTTTCACAAATATGTTCGGTTTTAATATCATTTAGTACAGATTGTACATCCTATATTTTGTTTTTACGTCATCAGGTAGTACAGACCAAACTGTATAATATGTTATTTACGTCATCATTTAGTACAGACTGTACACCATGTTCTAAGGTTGTGTTTATATACCAGTTAGAAACTACTTTACACTCTTATTAAGGGGAGATAACCACACTTTAATAGTTTCATAATTATCATAACTATATATCACGTAGTCCAAACTATGAACCCTGTATTGTGTATTTATATCAGTTAGTACATACTGTAAGCGGTAAGGCTGTGTTTCTTTACTACCAGTTATGGTCGACTGTAAATCGTACGTTTTCAGGCCTTATTTCAATTCAGATCGGACGTATTCACATTTCAGTTCGTAGACAGAAAGATACGAGCCCACTCCGTCTACTGCTCGTTTACAAATTATTGTAAGGCACAAACTATAGTTTATAACTTGTCCTGGTACATAAAAAGGTACTAAGACTCTTGACATAAAGACATTAAATTGGACGAGCCATTTTGATGGAGGGCACTATTATACTTTAATACTTCCTCCTTCTGAAATACTAACGATAATATCTATGTCACAATAAATACAAGCCATAGCCACTTACCTTCATTCGTTTAATCATGATACAAACTTTATCCTATATTATATTATAAGTTATCCAAGTAATCCGTAAATATAACTTAATTTGCACAGATTCAATATGGCTGAATAACTCCCTGCTTATGAGTAACTTACCCATAGCGAGTTATATGGACACAGATCACTAAAGATTTCCCATTGACTCCAATGTTAATTCTCGTATCTTAGACCGGCTCTAACTTTTTCCCAAATTTTCGTTGGGTAGAACGCTTTCTACCACAGATGGAGCAACATGTGGCAACCACTTGCCCAAAAGCACGTATGAGGTTCTTCATGAAAAACTTGAGATACACAAGCTGGAAGTAGAGACAAGTAAACATGCAATTTCAGGCCCTACATTTCAACGTAACCAACCTCTCAACTCTTGTATCCTTCCGCATCAAAATTATGAATATTCACCAAAACCTGGCAGAAAATGTATTTTCAAACCCTTTTCCTCAATTCTACACCAAAAAGTCAACAAAAATCGCCATGCAAAAGGGGGAAAAAGGAAAAGGGAGAGGAAGACTAAAAATAGCTTTGGCCCTTGTTTGGGTGACGGCGTAGGAATATTTGGTGATCTGTGTCCATATGTTATCAATACCCAGACCTTAATAGCGTTACTACCCTATAGTTATGAATAGAGTTTGTATTTTAAAAAGCAGATCACGTGGGTACCATTTTGTATGTGTCAATACAGGCAGATTATTACCCACAACGAGCACATGGCTGTAATTAATTTTATATAATAAAATAATCAAAATAAATCATAACACAGTTCTTTAGAATATAATTTCTACTACTACTACGATTCTCTAATTTTTAACCATCATAGCTTATATTTTATCAACAGCAGAAGAAATGTGTTCTGGTAGTTAGTGCGGGAAACACAAACCCCACAGGACAAACCCGCTGACATAGGGAAAAATACATAGATGTAACAAGAAATAAACAACAAATAAAGGCATTTTTTCTTTATATGGCCCCTATCATTGGTTTGTACATGATCCTCATCATTCTTTTTGTATAAGGCCCCAAGCATTTTTTTAAAAAATTTTTTGTAAATGACCCCACTCATTCATTCCCCAGTTTGACTTTTTTTTATTATTTACAATATTTTAAAGTATATATTATATGAAATATTTTATTTGTTCATAGATAAATGTATATCATATAACATAGTTTATATCTAAAATAAAGTAAATGCGTCCATTCTAGATAGTTTTCTTTATTACTGTTATAGTACATATTTTGATATACATGTATTTACTTATCTTAATTGATTAATTGCTTTAAAGTGGATAAGTTAATCTTTACTCCGAACCCTGATCGTTCTAATCTGGACGCACTGTCTTATCTATTTACCTTTTCTACACAACAATCTTAAAATAATTTAATATTACTTAACATGCATCCTAGTCATTGATTTAGTATGTACCTATATTTGAGTTACGTCTCAGTAATGTAAATATGTTAATTTATATCACATTTTGTATTATATGGTTAACCCTTATCATGTATATGTTCAAATAATTCTAGTGTAATTATTATTAAGATATTAAGTTGGCGATAGCGACTGGGTATAAATATAAGAGACGAAATACGAACAATTATGTTCATTCGTTAATAAACCCAGATCGACGTCAAATAATTAGTACTTATGTTTCTTATAGGTGAGTTAGTTTATAATTGTGTCGCCTAATAATTCATTTAGTATATATGTTTATGTTATTCCTAATATTATAATGTGTAATAGTTTACTATACTTATTCACATAATATGATAATACTTTATATTTGCTATTGATAAATGTATGTTTCTTTTATGCATAATATGATAATGTGAAATAGCTTACAATTGCACTTGATCACATAATATATGCTTACTTTATATATTCAACTATTCATTACTAGATAATTTGTAAATGATGTTTTAATTATGATTTCATATATCTTTATTTGTGTTATTCATGTTCATTCGTTAATAAACCCAGATCGACGTCAAATAATTAGTACTTATGTTTCTTATAGATTAAAGCTTCTTGAATAACAATTATTGTGAGAGCGCTGTGTGCTTCGACGTATTAGAGCTACGCACCCCCCAACATAAGAAATCTTAAAATACGTCAAGCTAACACAAAAGAAGCACACTCGCATTACTGACATTTGTCATATAATTTTCAAAGTAATGTAGGTAGGTAAGATATTTTATATTTCCACAAATAAAGTGAATATTATAGGAAATATGTTATATTTATATAAAATATTCTATATTTTCATAAATACAATCTTTTATATTCTCATAAATAAAATATTTTATATTTTCGTAATTACAATATTCTATTATGATATATTTTCATAAATAAAAAATTCTATATTTTCGTAAATAAAAAATCTATATTTTCGTAAATAAAAAGATTCTATATTTTCGTAAATATAATATTCTGTATTTTCATATATAAAATATTCTATATTTTCATAATTCTTATAAATAAAATATTTTATAGTTTCATACATAAAGAGCTTATTATATAAAATAGTTTTGTTTTGTTTGTTTATATATAGGTATCGTTTGTGTCCCAACTGTTTGAGGTATTACGCAACCCAATAATTACATACTAGTTTATCAGATACAGTTTCTAATGCACGTTTAAGTTTATGTGGATTCTTTGATTGTTTATTCTCGTCAACCAGTTGTGCCTTCACACCTTATACATGTCTAGAGTTTTTAATTCTGTGATGTCTAAAAATCCGTGTGCCCGAGCCATACGAAAAAAGCATTGTGACTCGGCTCAAGTTGACTTGGAGCTGCAGATGTCTCACTCGTTAAAAACTCAGAACGAATACTATAAAATGCCCCTTCTGAGGAAGCGAGCGGTCGAGGTCTCGGGCATTAAATAGCAGACTGCGTTTCGTGGAGCTGCGGCAGCTACTGAGGTGAGTGGTGCGCTAGCACACGCCGAAGAACCCCAAGCCACAACCTCTGCCGCTACTACATCCACGAGCCTTTAATCTCTTCGGACGAGGAGATGAGATGACCGAGGGCACTGCCCCAATGTCGCCCACTTCTTCATTGCCATCAGCCGATGAACCTGCGCCTCTTAGACCACCTCGCTCTCCGCTAATTCAGATGGAGCCACCTTCCCCGTCTTCGGACGAAGAAGACAACTTACTCTTTATTTCCAACAATAGACGTCGTCTTCGACTTCCATCTGAATCAGAAGAGGATTTCTTGGCTGATGGCAATCCTGCTTTCCCTGATCAATATGTCCCTCTTCCACCCCTTTCTCGCCTACCCATATTACAGTACCCACCGTGCAAGCCATGGAGCGAGTCTTTGGCCGGATCATTAGAGGAGAGCTCCGACTCTGCCAGCCAGTGATAAAAATGCGTTTACTGCTGGCGTCGGAGGGGGACCTCGAAATACTGCAGCCTTTTACTGCAAGGCAGCTTTACGATAGGCTGCGTATTTTGAGGTTGGCTTGGGCCAAAGTCCATTGATACAAAAATATTAGAAAAAAAGGGTTTAGGGTTCTGTATAATTAGAGTGTAGCCAAGTCCACTGTATTTTAATAAAACAGAACACTAGCCCACCCCCAAAAAATAAATGACTACCGCGTAGAGTGCAACCCCGTGGCGGTAGTCGGGCAACAAGTTGGGTTAACTCAAACTGGTTAATAATTAACCCAACTTGGCGAAACTCTCAACTCCTTTGAGGAATAAAATATATAATGAAACAGAATAAGAAACTATCAATTGCATTATAAAAGTAAGTGCAGGAGGACCGCATTACACGCAAAACAAAAATCTACAAGATAAACCTGCGGAGACGAGACAGAAAATAGACATTGCATCAAATAAACAAATATCAAATCAAGTGAATGGATCCGGGGGCTAGCCGTAAGCGTCCACTGCGCTGTACATTCCTGGGCCTCAAATATGAAAACAATCCGGATCCTTTCCACGTTATTTAACAATGAAAATAGAGACATGCAAGACATTTTGGTTCATTTTACAACAGATGAATAATTAAAATTTTGACAGCAATATTTGGGTAAACTGAAGAATTTCAGACAACTTATCATGATTTTTAGGCAAAATTGAGTGAAATTACGATACTTTCTTCTCATCTAACCTTTAATGTGCAGAAAGACTAAAAATTATACATTAAAATATTTTCCACTAATTTTGAAAAGTAAATAAACACTGAAAATCACAAAATTTTGACTAAAATCAAAATTGCCCCTCACAAATTTGTCAAACATTTTTGAAATTTTACGATGTCATATATCACATTTTCTGACAATTTGGAGATCATACCATCAAATTTAGGCCTCTCATCCACTGTCAGCTTGTTTACATACAGGAGGCAGAGCACCATTAATTTCCCCATTCAATGTTAATTCTGGCCTCTTTGCCCACCTCCAACTTTTCTTAAATTTTCGTTGGGATGAATGCTTTTCACTACAGACAGAGGTCATGTCTTTGCACTAAAATTTGTATGAGGTTGACGACCAAACTTTTGAGATACCCAAACTTGAAGAAGCATACTAAAACATGTAACTAGTTGCCGTACATATAACCATAGCCAACCTGATAATCCTGTTATCCTTCCGCCTCAAATCATGAATATTTACCAAAACCTGATAGAAAATGTTACTTCAAACCTTCTTCATCCATTCTAGACCAGAAAATCAACAAAAATGGGCGTGATTTTTCGTACAATTAGGGGGCATAATCCAGGAGGTTACGGTCCAATATGCGCAAATACCGAAAGGAATCCAGTTCAACAAAATCGGATAACAAAATGTGATCTCCAGAGTGTCCACAAGCTAAAAACGTCATTTTTTGTACAACCAGGGGCCATAATCCATGAAGTTACGACCCCATACATGCCAATATCGAAAGGAACCGAGATCTTTGGGAGATAAACTTATATTTCGGCCCCCCCCCAGTAAAATGAGAATATATTGGCATATGATATAACTGGATTAACAGCATGTTCAGACGGAAATAGTAAAGTGTTAGCAGAAAAACTCCAGTTTGCCAGAATGCAAACCTGTGTCAAAATAATCCCAAACACGTGTAAGCCGATTGGAGTAATCATGTCCCTCAAAAAAATTAGATATAAAGTGTAATACATTTTACAATGTCTATATCCCAGTAAAAGATAAAAACTTTTTATACGCCCACATTTTATATGGACGTATATTGTCGTCACCCCTGTCCATCCGCCTACAATTTGTTTGTGGACACTCTACAGGTCACAATTTTTAGTTTGTGGATCCACTAGAGGACAAACTTTTTATCAAATTTTAAACACCGTTTAAATATATCACCTTTTCACCATAATGAAGGTAGAGATTGAATTTCGAGAAAATTGAAACGAAACTGCCCGACACTATGGCCGCTCCTTGTACGCAAATTATGTACAAGTATGTAATACAACTTTTGTCCGATTTTGATGGAACTTAAAATATAACTTTATATCTCAAAGATCTAAATCTCGTTCGATATTCGCGCATTTCAGACCATAACTTCCT